TCCTTAAATTGGGTAGGTAAATTAGATAGTTTGCCAATAGAATGAGTATTTGTATTCTTAAATTAAGATAATTAGATGACAATACAATTGTGTTTTCTTATTTTAAGTGTAAATTGTCTTGTTCCATTGGAAAAAATGTCTCTTTTATCTCCTCAATCCAAGAACAAATGCACTTATTTTAAGAACAAAATTACTTATCTTTTTTTTCCAGTGTATATATCATATCAGTCACTGAGAGCTCGACTAAAATTTTTGGGATTTTCTAATCTGAGCTCTTAACTCCACAACTTTAACCCCCCATCATTTCAAAGTTGTGCTCTTCTTTATGTTGGTCAAAGTTTTATGGTTTCAATGTGAAAATGAGGTGCATGGATACTCTTGAAAGGCATTGTACAACCACAGCTTTTTAGGAACTAGACAATTCATTTTTCAGAGATTTAACTCTCTGCTAGCTACCAGTGAAACGCAGCCAAGGGAGGATGTTCAGTTTCAAATGTAAAATTCATAAAACATCACAGTGCCTAAACTGGTTAACGTCCACAGCGACCGCTTCTCTGTGATTTAAGTGAATAGATAATTGCTTTGTCGTGAACAGATTTAATGTTGAGTTATTTTTATAATGGTGTTAAGCCACAAAAGTCTTAGATTTTGCACTTTGGATGATCGTCAGTCTGTGCTGGACGGCTCAGCCAGGAGGTCTGCGTTAAAAGAGCAGTCGCCCTCTAATCATGCGAGCGGCCTGGTTTCCTTATCAAGCACACCGCCAAGGCCTGCATCGCCGCATGGCTCCTTCGGACCACATTTAGCCCCTTTCTGCACTCGGGCCGTTCTACTCCCTCTGGCATCCCAGAGGGCAGGAAACATGCTTGACAGAAACCTTCCAGATATCTGGCTGTCTCTAAATTAGCCCCTATTCCTCTCTGGACTCTGGGTCAGACGTGAAGGCCTATTATTTTACCCATCAGAGCTGCAGGCAGCGCAGCAAGGACCCAGGAAGTGGGCTAAGTCCACACACGGGGGCTCTGGCGTTGTTATTGTAAATGTTATATTTACAGAGGCCACCGGAGAATTGGTCTGGGCCACAGCCAAGAGCCAGCAAGACAGGGAAGGCAGGGAGGAGTGAAAGCAAGAGGGAGAGGGTTGCAGTCAACGTCTTTTTTTTTTTCTCTTCTTAAATATGTTAATTCACTCTGTCTTAACTTGCCCCCTTTCTCTTGTTCTCCTCCGAAAAGCACAGTGTCTTGCTTCAGCTCTAGGAGCGCAGTATCTGAGCACAATGCACCTTGGGGACGACGTGGTGCAAAAAAGCAAACTCAAATCCATTCAAATATCTCTTCTCAGTGAACGCCTTCACTCTGTTCTCCTTCACTACTTAAATATATTTCCTTTTTCAGTCCCCGTAGACATTTAAAGACTGTAATACTTAAGGCTTTCAGGCTGTTGTTGTTTATTTTAATGTTTTTTTTTAAAGTTGATTGTTGAAAGTTGGGATTGCTGTGATAATCCCAACACAGGACATAAGCTAATCCTCTTGAGAATGTACTGTATGTGTTTTAAAAGTGACAATCTGTTCAGCTCTCTGTCATTAGGTTTGAAATATGGCTTTTTTTTTTTTTTTTTAATGTCTGTCTGTTTTTTTGTTTGCGAATAACAGTTGTTACCATAACTATTTCAACTGTTAGGTCTATTTTAGCTCTAATCTAGTATTTCTCAAATCATTACTTACTGTAAGATTTGATTATATTTGTATTATTTATTTTATTCTTTATGCAATGTTGAAATATCAAAATGTACATAGAAATAAACTTATCTATATTTATATGACCATGTATAAATATAGCTACAATATGCAATACTGAGATACTATTGATGACAAAGTATACGGTGTGCTGTCTGTTGTTTTCTTTACAGTATTGCACCAATAACACATCGAAGTGTAGATATGTAATATACACCATTTGCTGTTTCAGAGTTTGAATGTGTATTATACCCCTATAGATACTTGATGATCACAGAAATTGTACAGGTTTTGTCCAGTTATGGCACATATGAAACTTAGTGCATGATGCCCATAAAGCCGACAAACTTGTGCATTTAAAAAAAAAAGAGAAAGTGCAGTTGAAAGAGATGACCGTTAGATTGAAATATAACAAAAGGCTCATCCGCATAGAGATGTAGAAAAGCTAAGGATGATCTTGTCTCCGCTTTTGAGTTAAATCTCATTCAGTCGGAACAAAGCAAGACGATTTTTTTGTTCTTTTTAAGGTCGTATGGCCTCAGAATTGTTGGGAAAACTCTGAAACTTGTCTTATTTCAATGCAAAGATGTGATGCATTTTCTTTTTCTTGATTGCTAATGAAGCTTCAGAAACTCTCAGAAACAGATAAGCTACTTGTATGGTATAGTTTCTTCCAAAAGTATTCATTTATATGAAACTTTTTTAGTAATGTTACAACCACAAACTTTGTCAGAATTGTATGTGATAGACCAACTTAAAGTAGTGCATAACTGTGAAGTAGGAGGGAATATGATTATAGGTTAGAGTGTAGATTATAAAATGGGGCATGCACTTGTATTTAGCCTCATCAGACTACATGGGAACTAAAAATGATAAAATCCTATAGCAGCTCCTTCCTTTAAAGCTCAGTTCATCCACAGATTAACTTAGTCTCCCTTTTCTTTGCTAAAATGATGCTGACTCCTCAAACTTTCATATTGTGGTATTCTTAGGGTTAAGCCGGGCATACACTGTGCGATTTATTTATTTTTGTTTTGTTTTCGCCCTTTCCGGGCCGATTTTCCAGTCATGCAACAGTTTTTTTTCAATCGGGCAGAGTTTCAGCCTCATCGTACGTCGTGTATACGGAGGAAATTAGGGGAAATCGATCTCTAATGACCAGCTCCTAATCAGCAATCATAAGGTTGGAAGAAAATCAAACATGTTTGAAATTCAGTCGGCCATCTTGAGGCGTTTGTAGACAAATCCTGCAGTTGACGCGGAGCTACGAGCCGATTTACCAGAACCTCGAGCACTGCATGTGCAAACATGGGAGTTCTTCTTCTTCAGTGGTGTCAAAAGTTCACACATTTGTTACTTGAGTAGAAGTATAGATACTGCAGTTTAAAAACGCTCTTGTAAAAGTTGAATCAGTTGATCTCTTTACTCAAGTAAAAGTCAAAAAGTATGAGCTGCATAAACTACTTAAAATATAAAGTAACCTTTAAAAAAAAGCATCCAGATGCCACTATATGAAATTAAAAGTAAATTTTTCGACTATTTCGAAAAATTCTTAAGGATAGGGCCAAGGATGAAGGAGGTCTTGTTGGTCTCC